TGGGACGGGGCGCTGGACAAGACCACCAGCTGTTTGACACGACGGGTTGTGGCTTACTTAAATATTTCCTACCTTCGCGTGGGGCCTAAAGTTGCCTTCTAACAGCTTAGCCTTGAAGTATGGCCAGTATTTTGGGGCTTTTTGGGTCATTTTAATCCCCCAGCCGCTCCCCCAGCCCTAGTTTGGGGCAGAACACAGGCTATTGTGTGTGGGAGTTAGTCACGGGATCCTTAATCCCTCTGTGTCAAGTATTGCATATGGAATAAAACTGTCCTGGAATTACTTTGCTATTTTAAAAATGTATGTAGGAGAGAGTGGGGTTAATTAAAAATTTATTTTAGAGCATTTTTATCCTAATCTCCTATCTCCAAGGATACCAGAAGTACAACTATTAGTTGTGTGTGTGCGCGTGCGCATGCGCACGAGTGCTTGCGCATTTGCAGGGAAGAATCTTTAAAACTTTTTCACCTTAAAAGGAACTACCACCTTCTCCTAGCACTCAGCACGTGCCTGTCATCTGGGTGTGTAATAAAAGGGGCAAACGTGAGGGCTACAGGAATAGAGCTACATTCATGCCTCTCACCCACCCCTTCAGGACTGTGTGCCATCCCATTACCCAGGGCACCTGGGGAGAGGCACCCTGAGGCCTGGAGGTGTGGCCTTTTCCTGCCTGTGTTCTCCAAGGCATGTGGAAGTCACTAGGACTTACACTTGAGCACAGTCCCGTGCCCCAGAAATGCAGGGCTGTCGTTGGAGGGTCTACTTTCAGTCCTGGCCCAGGCCTTGATGGAAAGGAACTAGTTGTTAGATGGAGTGACTAACGCCAGGGACTTGCTCCTCATTGCGAGTGTCAGCCCCCTCCTTGGCTGAAGAGTCTCATCTGCAGATTGTCTGGGTTAAACATAAAAAAGCTACCTCTGGAATTTGTTTCCAGGTTGGGCTGTTCTCCCCTCTGGGTCACAGTGGGTGGGAACAGTGACCGTGCCTGTAAGTGAGCGAGCACTCTGAATTTGAGAAGGATCCCACTTAGAGTCTCAGTGCAAAAGGGGCATGAAATCATTTTGTTCCCTTGTTAGTTGCTGAAACCCTTGTCCTCCTGGAATTGGCAGGCCTTTACTTTTCCTGAACTCCTAGCGATGATTTCCCTGGAAGCTATTGTTTTGAATCTGTCAAGAAGAATGTTGGGCCTGTTATGTACGTACACTTGCATGCATGCTCACACACATCTACACACACTCAAACTGGGATCCATGCATGCACACACAGGAAAGCCAGGCCTGTCTTGGGTTCCAGAGATGGCAGGATCCAGTGGAATGTTAACTTCTAAAGACAGTGACCTATTAAAGAGTGGGTTCTGTTTTTTACTTAGGCTTTTGCTTTGCTTTTTTAAACCAGGCTTGAGTGAGGAGAAGAGCCTCTTAAGCGGAGGTGAGGGACTGCAATGCTTCCTTTATTAAAGGCACATGCTACGCTGTGTCTACCCAGGGTATCAGTCCAAGCGGTCCCGAACGAGTGAAAATGTTGTTGAATGTCCTGGTGCCAATGTTTGGCAATTATAACCAAAAAATAAAAGTGGCAGCTTTGTCTGTTGCAAAACAGGGCTCGTTTCTGAATTGCATGCTCTTCTTATTTGGCCAAGATGATATTGGTAAGTGTGTGCAAAGGGCTAGGAATTGAGACCTTACTTGTTTCACCTATTTTTTTTTTTTTTTTTTTTTTGATAAGCCAGTCACTTGACCACTCCCTGAATGAGCAGAATTCTCCTGAGGAAGGTCAAGGTTTTTTTTTGTTTTTTGTTTTTTGAAAATTTGGGTATGTTCAATCTTTTTTTTTTTTTAAGTTTTTATTTATTTGACACAGAGAGATAGCACAAGCAGGGGGAGCGGCAGGCAGAGCGAGAGGGAGAAGCAGGCTCTCCACTGAGCAAGGAGCCCGATATGGGGCTCGATCCCAGGACTCTGGGATCGTGACCTGAGCCGAAGATAGCCGCTTAACCAACTGAGCCTCCCAGGTGCCTCAGGAAGGTCAAATACTGATGAGGCTCCTGGACGAGAATATGTAAGGAACCCTGGCCTTTGTATCCAGCTGAGGAGGGGGAAGGGTCAAGTGTTCCTCCAAACTTGTGAAGCCTCTAGGCCTTCATTCTCTTCTCAGCTGATCAGGAAGACTTACTGAGCTAGTTCATGGTAACAGAATGTGCCACAGGAAATAGGCTTGCAGAGCATATAAGAGGAAAGACCACTGGGTTTGCAGAAACCCAACACCAGCTTTTCCCAGAGTGACAGGCAATACCAGAGGTCAGCGTGGCCTCAGCCCCAGAGCACAGGACTGTCCCAGGGCGTGGACGTTTAAAAATGAAAATGTATTTATAGACAGTGCCCCTGGGGCCAGAATTTTCACTGTTCCTTTGTGGGCCCCACCCTTTGACAAGCACAGACCTCATTCCACAGGCTTAGTGGTGTGTCTTCAATGGGGGCTGGAAGTCCTTGTCATTGACCTGACTCCCAACTCCCCCCAAAAAAGAAAAAAAAATTGCTTTGTGACACATCCATAGAAGAGTATATAAAATGTCTAGGCACAGTTTGAAGAGTAAATTGAACGTCTGTGAAGCCCACAGCCGGGGTAAGAAAGCAGTGTTCCAAATACAGTACAGGATCCCCTGTCACCGCAGAGGTGACAAGTGTCTTAACTTTTTTTTTTTTAAACCAATCCTGCCTTTCTTATTGTTAGTACCTATGTATGCATTCCTAAATAACGTGTATTTTTGTTCCCTGATGTTCATTTCATTCTTGGTTTTGGAAAAATCAATGACCAAGTATAAACATAGCTTTGGGAAGCTTCCTGCAGAAACGGCAAAGGATGCCTGGAGGAGCAGAGGGCTCTCAAACTGCTGTGGGCGTTTCTAGCTGCGGGTCTGACTTTTTCCACCAGAAATGCTACCAGAAGTCAGTTTTCTCAGTTGGCCCTGCCCTTGTGTATCACTTTGTAAATGGGGTTGTCATTCACACCCCCATTTACAAAGGGGTCATAGAAAGTTTGGAGAGAATTAGAAAAGGGGACTTCTTATAACGTTTTAGTCCAGCCAGATGTACAGAGAGAAACTTCAGGTGGCTTATGAACTCTTTGAAGCTGTATGCGTTATGTTCTTTTGGGTGAAAGAGTCCCATGATACTTCCAGAGGAGTTTGTGGACCCTCCTTCTCCGTAAGGGTAAGGAATAATGTAGCCATCATGGTAGGTGGTGTTTTTTTGTTTTTGTTTTTTTAAATGAAGGCTGGAGCTGTGGAAGACTTGTTGAAATCTGTTAGGTCTGCGTTGACTTTGTAAGTCTGAGCGTGCCTGAGTGTTGAAAGGGAAATGAGCAGTAAGTTACACTGTGGATTGTCCAGGGTGGAATTCTTGACCGTGCTGCGGGTGGCCCAGCAGGCTTTACATGCTGTCTGAAACCTGCATCTCCTTTTCTTGACCCAGAGTAACTAAGGAGAATGCCAAAATGGGGGGGGGGGGGGGCGGGAATTGGGATGGTTGTTGTAGTTTCAAAACAAATGACCTCACTGCCTAAGTTCCACTTGATGCAAGAGAAAACCCTAACTTCTGCCTTATAAATAATGGACCTTTGGGGAAACACATCCAAATACCCATTTAGTGAGGGTGGGGGCAGATGTGTCACTGCTGACGTTCACTCCTTAGAAACAGAATACAGCTACTGTTATTACCAACTCCCTAGTCTTTTCCTTAAGAGATGCAGCAATTTAAATTTATAATGACGGACTTTGACTTCTTCAAAGTAGGGGAGTAATGATGCTTTGTGTGAGCTAACTTACTGTGAGGTACTTTCAGCATTGTTCCAGCAATGGGAGGGAATTGTTGAGTTCCTTGGCTGAGGGACACCTGAGTTTTACCCCGTTCATGTTCTTTTTATGGATAAGGTACCGGGAGGACAGCAGAGTTAGCTGTGATGTGCCTAGGGATGCCTTGACTTGTCAGGGTCAGCTGGAACTAAAACCCCAGGGAAAGAGTTATTTCCATGATTATGGTTTAAATATATAATTGGATGAAGATCAACTTAAAAACGTAATCAGACTCCTTTCCTAGAGAATTAGCCTTTTGAGCATCCATATCATTTTAACAGAATGACCATTGACCACAGTCTTAGCCCACCCATTTTTGAAATGCCCTACTTAGAGCCTCCGAGCATTTCCTGGGTGTGTTCTGGTCTCTTGGGTCTATAAACTCAATGTCTGGGAAAGGAGCTTTTGTTCTGGTTCTGTGTTCCTTATATTTCCTAAATTGAGACTTTTTAGGTGTTAATTTTTTTTGTTCGTTTACAAAGTTTTTATACTTCTCATACTCAAATGTCTAAGATTTTCTTTTTCTTTTAAATGTTGTTTTTGAAAAAAAAAAAACAGGAGTTTCACTTAGGCTGTTGAAGTCTTTGGGGATTGGGGAGAGGGGAGAATATAGGGGAAGGATTAAGATTTGGAAATGCAGGCTGCTCTGTCTTGTTTCATCAGTTAAGAGCCAGATGGAATAAGAGTAACATTTAGAAACTGAGTTTTATTAAGGAAAGTAATTTACAGGTAAATTTAAGCTTTATAGACTTGATTCTGTGATTCCATTCCTGGTATTGCCAGTACTTGTTGCTAATTTTGGGCAAGGCAGCTCCCCTTGAAGTCTTGATTTTTCTCCTCTATAAAGACAGGATGGATCCAATGACCTCCAAGGACACTTTGCAGCTGGGGCCCCATGTTGGGGGGATCTGTAGAGAGGCTGCTCTAGGAGCTGCTGGGGTGGGATGGTGCCCCTCCCAAGACTGAGGACAGAGGGGTTGTCTGCTGTAGGACTGCAAGGTGCTCAGAGACTATTTGCCTTGGGAGTCTTCTTTTTCTACCCACTCTGTCATCTGAACCCCACTGGTGTCCTTTGGTGTAGGGCGCACATTGCATCCCTACTGACATGGCCACCTGCCCTAACACATGTCATTTGTCTCCTTTTTGCCAGCGCGCTGTTGTAGGGTAACATCTGGACTGGGTTCCTGGACCCTTGGATGTCTTGCTGCCCACAAACTCCTGGATCAACTTGTTGAAAATAGTGAGTAATCTGCACGTTTCTACTTGGCATGCAACTGTAGACGTGTGGAATTTGAGGGCTGGAGGGTTGTGGCCAGTAGTCCCAGCGCCCAGCCAGATCTGCCCGAGGGGCTGTCTTTCTCACATGCAGCTCCAGGAGCCTTGGAAATGGCAGCTGTGACCATACACGTGGCCTTTCTGACCTTTCTACCCCCAGCAGCCATAAAGGGCATGGGGCCTTCGGGAGCTGCCTCCTTGGAGCTCCTTGGTTGTACACCAGAGCCAAATATTGACTGTCCATCTACATAGGCTACATGCATAGCCTACAGGGACAGACTTCATGGGGGCAAAGGCAGGCGCTGTGCCTCTGCCGGACCTCGTCTTAGCTCATGTGTTCCTCCTCAGCCATCGTGTCTTATTCTCCTGTTACCCTCCCTTTCAGAGAGGCCTTACCTGACTCCTTTCAAGACCCTCTCCTCCAACCCCTCCCCCCATATTCTCTCTCTCGATCTTTCCTTTACATCCTTGCCTGCATTTTTCTTTACACTTAAAACAGGATTGGTCTCTTCGGTTATTTGATCGACCACCCATTTGTACTCAAATATTCATTGCGTGAATGAACGTGTTTACTATGTCCCAGTGGCTGAGGTAGGCCCAGTCTGGGCTGTCATGGAACTTCCATGAGGGAAGAGCAAGACCAAGTAAAAGCTACATGGTCACAACCCCAGTGTCACCTGGGCATCTAGTTAAAAAGCAGATGCTGACTGGGTGGGTCTGGGTGGGGCCTGAGATTCTCACCTGGGCATCTAGTTAAAAAGCAGATGCTGACTGGGTGGGTCTGGGTGGTGCCTGAGATTCTCACCTGGGCATCTAGTTAAAAAGCAGATGCTGACTGGGTGGGTCTGGGTGGGGCCTGAGATTCTCACCTGGGCATCTAGTTAAAAAGCAGATGCTGACTGGGTGGGTCTGGGTGGGGCCTGAGATTCTCACCTGGGCATCTAGTTAAAAAGCAGATGCTGACTGGGTGGGTCTGGGTGGGGCCTGAGATTCTGCATTTCTAACAAGCTCTAAGTGGTGTCAATGCTACTCTTGTGTAGATCATGTTTGGAGAAGGTCTAAGGTTCTTAGAGCACATGACACTTGCCTTTGAGTGTGACCTTTGGGGAACTGCTGGGGGAGGCGGCGGTGGTGGTGGTGGTGGGTGTGTGTGTGGCAGAATTTTGTCTGGCTTGTCTGTCTCCCTCTGCTGCGTGAGGCTGGGTATGCTGAACTAGGAGCCCAGCTGAAAAGTGTGGGAGCCTGTTACCTTGCCTGTGTCCATGTGCTCGTACCTCATGACGATCCTAAGTTGTGGTTTTGTCAGTGCAATCTTACTGTGCTCCTCAGATTCATGAGCTAAAACCCTGTGGGGTCTCAGCAGTATAAGTCAGCCTTTCTGGAAATACGGAGGGGGTTTCTCAAGAGCAAGCTGTATCAGCTGGGCCAACATGGTTCCCAAGTCGGGGGCTGAGAAGAGAGAACGTGTTGGCAACTGCAGGCCACCGAAACCTCAGAGCCGGCCGAGAGAGGCTGAGAGGAGTGGCAGGAGGGGTTCAGGTCACTGCTACCAAAGGGGGTGTCTCGAGTCCCAGCGATGAGCTGGCCCTGGGGTTGTTCATGGCATTGTGGCAGGCTAGGCACGGCTGTAGTCAGACCTTTCAAAAGTCCTATTGCTCTCAAGAGAGGCCACACGGATACACCACATGAGTAGTTAGCAGTTCCAACAGCCATTTAGGGAGTACTCACAATGTACTAGGCACTAGGCTAAGAGCCTGGCACACAGTCTTGGGTCTTAGCCCTCCCTCCAGCCCCTGAGGCAGGCAGTCACCATTTTACAGAGGGCAAGACCGAGGCTGGGATGAAGGAACTCACATAGTGACACAGCAGGTGCATTTGGGGTCCAGCCTTCAGGCAGAGCTCTTCCCCCCTGGCCTTTACCACCTGAATCCCGACTAAAAATGGGATTTTACTGCTGGTAGCAAGATGGAGTTGCTGATGATTTGTGTTTTCTTCCGTCTTACCCACTCTCATGATACCTGTGGATATGGCCTTTCCCTGTGTGTCAGCTTTAAAATGTTGCCTCTAGGGGCGCCTGGGTGGCTCAGTCGGTTAAGCGTCTGCCTTCGGCTCAGGTCATGATTCCAGGGTCCTGGGATCGAGCCCCGCATTGGGCTCCTTGCTCAGCAGGGAAGCCTGCTTCTCCCTCTCCCACTCTCCCTGCTTGTGTTCCCTCTCACTGTCTCTCTCTCTGTGTCAAATAAATAAATAAAATCTTAAAAAAAAAAAAAATAAAATAAAAATAAAATGTTGCCTCTAGGCACTCTAGCCCCTCGAGTTAGAGGAGGAGCTTGGTCAGTGTGGGGCAGAAATGGACAAAGAGAGAGAGTTGTGTATTCATCTAGGAGGCCCACTTCTTGCCCCACCTCTGTTGGCCTCAGCCAGCTTCCCTAGGGCCAGTTTTCTGAAGGGACTGTTGGCTCCTGGTGGTCCCTAGAGCTGGTGCTACAACTTAGTCATCCATAGCTCATGGCTGGAGGCGGAAGGCGAGGGCTCAGGCTGATTCGCTGTGTCCTCAAGACCATTTCCTGGCCACTGTGTAGAATTGCTGTATCAAAGACCAAATCGAAGAAACCTTTCTCTGCTCAGGGTTATTTTCTCTGTTCTGGATCAGATATGCAACTGTAGTGCTTTATGGGTTTTAAGGTTTTGATGAGGTGCCTCTGTTTTGGCCTTCTATTTTTTGGGTTTGTTTCCGCAACAGCAAAAGGGGGGCGAGGACTTTCGCTGGCACAGAGAGTGGTTGTAGATACGATGCTCTTAGAGTACTACGTACACATTCCAGCTGCTCATTTGAGGGCTGGCTGAAGTGTCCTTTGCCACCTGTTTCTGGCTGCATTCCCTCCAGCCGAGCTCTTTTCTTTTGTTTGAGGCCAATTTCTTTGTAGAAATGAGCCCCTTGAGGACAGGGATTCTGCTTCATCCATCCTTGTATCCCAGGGCCCAGCACTCAGCCTTGAGCTCCATAAACATGTGTTAAATGAACCCCACAAAGTAATTTCCTTCTTCCATTTGCTTATCTAAAGTAACCTATCGGAAGAAAAATGAATTAATAGGCACTGCTGATGAATCCCTGAGCAAACGGTGGTCACGTTGGTCTCTGGTAATTATCAGCCTTCACAAGTAAACACGATGGTAGGCGTTTCCTTGCCTTTTGTAGACTTCAGAAGATGTCCTTTCTGGAGTCTGCATTTATTTGTGGTAATGGGAGAGAGCGAATGGGGTGGAAGATGTTGGATAAGTATCTTAAAAAACATTCTTTCCTTCAACAGGTTTGTATTTTTTTTTTTTAAGGGCCTTTTACTTTACAAAGTTACAATAGTAATTTACAATCTGTTATTTTAAAAGAAGAAAAGGAAGAGAAAGATGTCTAAAAAGGGACCTGCTGATTCTTCGTATTGATATTCCTCATATTGGTGACCCCTGCCAAGGATTGTGGCTTTCTGGGCCTGTGTTGCATGCCAAACTTGGGACTGGTTCCCCTCTTTGTAACAGAATGTACTTTTTTTTTTTTTTTTTTTTAATCACAGTATGACAAACTTTAGGATGCTACGGGACAGAGATAACGGGCTTTTCCGCCCTTAAAACGGAGTGTTAAACAGTATTCATACGTTTACTTGCCATCCTTCCTGCCTCTGCTTCAAGACAGGATTCTGTCAATGTCTGCCATTCAAAATGTCCCAACCCTAAAGCCAGCATTGCTTATAGGGCACTTGGGGTTGGGGGGCGTGGAATGATTTTGCCTGCAGCTCATACGTACCCCTAATCTCACAAACAGATTTTATTTTAGTACCAGTTTATTACCTTGTCTGAAATTGTGGGTCCATGGTAACATCCAATCACAATTACTGTTCTCATTTGGGACCCTCTAAGGCATGTTTCTTTTTATTAAAAAAAAAAAGACGATGATTGCTGATTAAAGGAATGGCTAACGGAATCTGTCAGCTTTTACTTCTTCCCCCTCGCAGACAGAGCTCTTACTGGTTCAAAGCACACCAGATGATATTGTTAACCCTCTTTGCTTCTTGAGAGAAGAAGAAACTTTTTCAAGGTGGTATCAAGACACTCATAAAGTCCTCATTGTGCCCCTTTGTGAGAAAACATTTTTTAACAAAATATAGTGTACTATTGTGCATGACACTTTAAAAGTGAATGTATCATAGACATTGATTCCATGCTAATAAAAATCTATCCTGAATTTAACTGCCTATTTCTTTAATTGTTAACATCTTTTCTTGTAAAAAAAAATTTTTTTTTAAATATTTATTTATTTGCCAGAGAGAGAGCACAAGCAGGGGGAGTGGGAGTGGGAGAAGCAGGCTCCCTGCTGAGCAGGACCCTGAGATCATGACCTGAGCTGAAGGCAGATGCTTAACCAACTGAGCCACCCAGGCATCCCTCTTGTTAATTTTTTTTTTTTTTTTTTTTTTTTTTTTATGTGACCTTTCACTTTCTGGTTCCTGGCTGGGCTTCTTACCCTCTGTCTCCCCATTTACTTATTTACTTGATAATATTGCAATGAGTATTTTTTAATACATCTTTGAAGACCATAAGGGCATTGCTGTAGGATTTCAAGGTCAAAAGATAGACACCTTTTACAAATTGACCGTTCAAAAGACGATTTAATGTATATTCCTAACAACGGTGTGAAGGCCCTCGCTGACACAGAATGTTGATCTTAAAATTTTTGTCATTTTGAAAGCCAAATAAATAGAAAAAGCCTTCCAAAATATGGCCATGCCAGATCTGGAAGTTCATAGAGCTTCAAACAGTCTCTAACCAGATGGGGTTTACCAAGATGTCTCTGCTGGTTCTACAGTTGAGCCTTCACGGCCCCCTTACAGAGGCCCTCTGAGTTTGCCTGGTCCCCTCCGATGGCTCCTTTTCTCTGCCTCCCACATGTTCATGTTTATACCCACTGGTGCC